GTGGCTGCGACACTGCCGTTTTTTCCCCAAAAGACCCAAGATGATGACTTTGACGTAGGGCCCCGCCCTCCTCCACACTGGCCGGCAGACTGCACCGGTAGCCCCAGTGTTTGGCTGTCCTGTTTCCATGTGGGCTTGGCGGGAGCTCAGAGTCTGCAGGCAGGGTAGTGCAAGAGGAACCCCGTCGGGCCTGCTGGAAGCGCAGAGCTGCCATCTTGTTTTGCTCCCTTGGCTCTGGCATCGCGGCTGTCAGCGTCAGCGTCTGGGAGCAGAATCTGCACGAGACGAGCTGGGAAGGAAAACCAGATCCCTGCTCCCCGGAGCGACACGCAGAGGGAAAAGCCTCTGTCAGCACATTTCACGGGGGCCAGGTGAGACCCTGTCAGGCAGGAGGCAAAGTCAAAACACATGGCTGAGTACAAACAAGCCCTGGAGCTGGAGACTGTGCGAGAACTCACTTGCACAAGGAAGCAAGGATCTCAGATACCCTCTGCCAACTCCTGCTGCCCTGAGGACGGCGCAGCTGTGTGGTCTGGGGTGGCGGGTAGGGCAGCTGGCCTGGTCAGCACTGAGGGGAGGTGCCCATACACACTCACGGGCCGGTATCGTGCCAAAGAGACTTGCCTTGTCTTAGAGCTGCAGCTTGAAAAGACTTTCACTGACACTAAGAAAAATGTGTGATTTACTGACAGGCCCGGGGCTGAGGCAGTGAAACCAGAATCTTGCTGTAAACTCAAGAGAAAGCATCTTGACACAGCTGTTCTGCTCTGTGCTGAGACAGGTGTCCAGACATTGGCCGGTTCAGGGACCTCCAGAGTGGCTCGGTGGGTCAAGACTCTCTCCTGAGGGCAGGTTGGGCTCTATGGTTCTGGTGTCACGGGTTTGAGCCAACCGTGACTGAGATTCTTCAACTGGCGGCACTCAGTTGACTCCGCGACGTTCCTGTCAGGCTTGTGGTGATGTCACCGCGTGCTACGCCTCAGGATCGCCATAGAAACACAGGCCAGTGATGTCACAAACTGATGGGACTAACCAGAGTCCAGATGGCAGCTGACAGTGTGGGAGCCCTGTCAGCCGCCAAGTTCAATTCAATTTATTTTTATATAGCGCCTTTCACAACAAGGTTGCCCCAAGGCACTTAACAAAGCTGTGTGACAATACATGACGTTACAATAAAGAAAAGAGAAAAAGCCAGAAGACAACGGAGGAGAGGAACCCAAAACTCTTTAGTAAGGAGAACAAAAACCACTAGCTGTGGTCATAGACCTGGTGAAATGCGTCTGGTCGTTTTTCAGATTGTAATTGAGTAAAAAAACGAAAACGGTGTCAGGCATACCTTTACATGGGCCATGGCAGATAACAGCAAAACAAACATGACTTGACTTGATGACGTGATTGCACTGATTTCTGGGAGTCTAAAGGAGATTCTGAAGACGGTGCAGTTTAGTTTTCACTGTGGGCCTCCTAGTGCAAAGCAGCTGATCATTTCACATAGGTAGTTATATGACTAGACAGATCTCTATATTTGGCAACTAGCTGAACTGTCCTTAATCCAGCAGCCATATCACCCTGCAACTCACAACTGGCAACCCACTGAAGCAGCTGTGAGCCTGGTCAGTACCTGGATGGGAGAGCTCCTGGGAAAAACTAAGGTTGCTGCTGGAAAAGGTGTTAGTGGGGCCAGCAGGGGGTGCTCACCCTGCGGTCCATGTGGGTCCTAATGTCCCAGTATGGTGATGGGGACACTATACTGTAAACAGACGCCGTCCTTCGGATGAGACATAAAACCGAGGTTCTTACTCTCTGTCGTCATTAAAAATCCCAGGGTGGTGGGGATCCCCATTACCTGTAAAGTGCTTTGAGTGGAGTGTCCAGAAAAGCGCTATTTAAGTGTAAGCAATTATTATTAATTATTATTATTATTATTAGCACTCAGTGGACTCCAGTAAAGGCACTGACAGAACTACACAAGGGGAGAGGAAGTGGAATCATGGGATGGACTGTCTGGTCCTTCTGTACGCTAGCTCTGAGGCAGGGGGGGTCTTGAGTGCTGGGGGCAAAATAATGAAAGAACTAGTGATGAGACACTTGTTTTAAAAAGCCAAAATGTGCCTGTGCAGTGTTGCAGGTCGTGACCGGTAGGCGCCTGTCGTGTGGCTGTAAGTCTTCTCATTGCTCTGTCCTGCAGGAGCCAGGATGCAGAAGATCACCCTGTTAATGTGTCTGGGGGCGCTGCTGTCCCTGTCGAGCGCACAGCTGGTGAGTCCCCCCCCTCCTGTGTCTGCGTGTTCCTCCTAGCTCTGTCCGCCCTGTCCACTCTGTCCACTCTGCTGCCGGCCTGGCCTGTAGTGTCCACGCAGGTGCCCTGTCCTAGCCTGCACCTGGACAGGAGCCCACCTTCTGATCTTTAGCACTCCCTCAGAAAAAGCTGACCGTGCACAGAAAGCCCATATTTATGCAGCTGCAGACAGATAAGTTCAGCATTTTTGACATTTCTTTGACATTGTTGTGTGTCGATATTTTGAATGGCCGTGCCTGTATTGCAATGGGAAATGCACTGAACCAGGGCCATCGGGGTTCCGGGGGAATTCTCACTCTTTTCCTTGCCTCCTCTCCCAGGAGCCCGATCCCAACGCGGAGACGGAGGGAGCCGCCGAGGAGGAGACCGAACTCTTCACTACGCCCACAACCAAGCTGGCCGCCGCCACCGCCAACTTCGGCTACAGCCTGTTCCGGGAGCAGGTGAACCGGGACCCCCAGGCCAGCGTGTTCCTGTCCCCCCTGAGCGTGTCCGCCGCCCTGACGCAGCTCTCTCTGGGTGAGCGGAGCGGGAGGAGGGGTCTGGGGCTGGAGTGGGGTGTGGTCAGGGGTCAGGGGTCAGGGGTCAGGTAAGGGTCAGGGCTGGGGCTAAAGACACTAAAACGCACTTGAGTATATGTAAGTGGAGCAAGCAACGGCCTGTGAATCTGCAGGGCCAGCAACAGTCATAGGTAGTGAAAAACAAATATCTAACCCTCACTGAGATGTCATGTAGCACCTTTTCAGAATCCTGCCAAGTTAATAGTGATAAGTTTTGCATGCTGGTTCCTGTGTTTGAGCCCATCCTGCAATGCTGTGTTTGTCCCACAGGGGGCTCTGCCGAGGCAGAGAGGAAGCTGTACAGAGTTCTGCAATACCACCACCTGCAGGACAGCCAGCTGCACAGCACCCTGAAGAACCTGCTGGCCAGCGTCACCTCCCCCAGCAAGGGGTTCAGCTCTGCCTCTCGCGTCTACCTGGAGAGGAGTGAGTGTCGAGCCGCCTGTCCTTCTACCCAGCATCCCCTCTCCCTTCCACCCACCTCGCTGTCTTCCTGTCCCCCTACCCAGCATCCCCTTCTCCCTTCCGCCCATCTGGGTTCTTCCTGTCCCCCTACCCAGCAGCCCCTTCTCTCTTCCACCAGCCTGGCTTCTTCCTGTCCCCCTACCCAGCATCCCCTCTCCCATCGCTCACCTGGCTGTCTTCCTGTCCCCCTACCCAGCATCCCCTTCTCCCTTCCGCCCATCTGGGTTCTTCCTGTCCCCCTACCCAGCAGCCGCTTCTCTCTTCCACCAG